TTTGTGTGTGTATTTGTGTGTGTGTGTGTGCGGGTGTGCGGGTGTGTGTGTGTGTGCGCGCGTGCGTGTGCATGTGCGTGTGTGCATGTGTGGGTGTGTGTGTGTGTGTGTGCATGTGTGTGTGTGTGTGTGTGCGCGCATGTGCGTGTGTGCGCGTGTGCACGTGTGTGTGCCTGAGTGCCAAACACAGCAAGTGATTGTTGCACAGAGCGGCATGTCGCAAAAGAAGCACATGGCAGCGCACCGGCTGCACTCGTCTGAGACGGATGCAGATCATCTTTGATGATACCAGGCGCTTGCCAGGTTTTGTCGTGGCAACAATGGCCCAGAACACAAACCCAAACACCTAAAGCCTCACATCCTTAACCCCAAAGCTCAATTGCTCCGCAATGGCACGTTCAACTCTTCCTCGTCTGCGAGATTGGGAGCAGCCCCCGTCGCATGGGCCCTGGCCTCGGATTGTATCTGCTATCCCCGATCCACACGTGAGTATAAAGACTAAAGAGCATGTGGACAGCTCTCTGAAACAATATTTCCCTCATACAGTAAGGCTCAACGGGACCTGAATTCAGAGAACTGGTTAATCAATCTGCGGCTGCTGCGCTTAGGTTTCCAGGCGACTAGCACCAACATGGTTGCACTGCTTGGTTTTCTAAGAAAGCGGCAGGACTTCGAATACAAGAGGTAACTTTCTTACGTGAGGCCTTGCTCGCAGACTGCGTGCACACCTTACAGTGCAAGCTTTTTACTTTTCATGTTTGTCTGCAGCAGGCGCACATACAAGTCACCAAAGTCTTCAAACCTTGCAGCGAGACGCTGCGGCCACGGCGGCAGCTACGGTTGGCGGAATTGCGTTGGAGTTGTCATCGGAATTCTGGTCTCTGGACGTTCCTTGTAGCCGTGGAGGCCGGCGAAAGTAGTTATGGGCCAGCATACCCGCCAGGATGGCAGCACTCCCCCACCAAACAGCTTCAGCGAGCCATTCGACTTGCTTCGGCAAGAGCCCAAGTTCAGTAAAACCCATTACAACTAAAAGGACGACGCCCATGGCATTCAGGAGAAGGGCCCCAGCTGAAAGCGCAGCTTCGAAGGGATCACGCTGCCACTGATTTGAGAGCCACGTGTGCATCATCATCACAGCAAAACTGCAGCTGCAGACTCAAGCGAGCACACGAAATGGCAGGTATGCTGGGCCCACAGTTCGATCTCCGTAGCAAAGAACGTCGAAACGAATCTTGGAATCACGAACCATACGGGGTAAAGGCTTGTCTCACTCCAGTGGCCGCTACAATTCGTGATGACACATGCCTGGCTTGTACTTGAGCTGCGGCGGCGGTGCTCAGCATTGCGTGGACGATGTCCTCATGTAACCCTAACCTCCCGGGTACCTTCTATATAGGGCCCTAACAGCTCTAGTACCCTATATAGTAGGTACCTGAAGCGTTAGGGTAGCCCACGAAAATGAATTGCAAACTCTCCGAGCACCTGGGGAGAAGGAACTCTGAGCCTGAGCTCGACCTCGACAGGTTTCACACCTTATAAGGGTGCAGGGATGGAAGCCGTGATCCACAGGGCTTATTCCGAGGGGGCTGGTCTTAAGTATAAGGTATTCCGATCTTATCAGGGGTCCTATGAGCAACATAAGGCAATGGGCGTCTTCTCGTGGTGTTCAGCAGTTGGGGTCAAGATAGCATAACAGGCCATACCCCCACCCTGCCTCTTTCCAGAACCCACAGAAGTGCTGGGGGGTTTCGTCAACATGCAGGAAACAACCAGGAAGCTAGTCGTGAGAATAGGGAAACGTACGCTTGCAGGCCCTCGTCTTCACACGAACGGGGACATCTCATCCCCACACACCAAAAGCCCAGAACTTCGAAGTGTATGCAGAGAACCCTGCCCATCTTGATTAAGCCTTTCGGAACCAAACGGACACACCTCGCGGGAAGTAGATTGTCGCTTCGGCTCCCTCGATGCTTCTGGTGACCTGTCACGAGTCAAAACGCTTTGAGGCGGGAGCATGCCGGGTTTAGGACCAAGTATAGGACGGTTTGAGCGTCTCTATGCCCAGTCCCCTTAGCCCGCCATCGTCTCCATCCGGCATCATGCATCATCGCCACCATCACCGTCAACAACAACATGATCGCCGACGTCTTCTGCATCGTCAGCAGCCCCCCCCCCATCACATTACTTACCATCATCGATGCATGTGATTATGAAACACGATGTTCCTCGTTGCTTTCTCAAGCCATCATGACCATCTTCATCATGTAATTGTCAACATCGCCATGGCCGCCATGACTATCATCGCTCTAGTTATCCTCGCCGTCAGCATCATCACGGTCATCATGGCCGTCGTCATCAGTTCTAACGACAGCAGCAGCAAAGCAAAGGCAAGCAGCATCGCCCTCAACATCACTCGTTTATTGTTTTTTCATGATTTGTACTGATTTTTACTGCCTTGAAATGTTTTTTTTGATTGGTTTCATTAATGTTTACTGATTTGCCTGCGGGCTGCGATGACAGAACTGAGGAAGCAGCGCAGTCTTGATTCTGCCATGGCTACCCTAACATGATGGTCTGATGCCGAATGCCCTCGTGCATGTTACCATTCCCGCAGCTCCCCTCAGAATGCTGGCATTGTACATTCTTGTCATTACGAGTTCGCTCCAGCTTTTTTGTTCTCGGCTTGCTGTGTGATTAGTGTTGGGGTTGCAAATCCTAACCAACGAACCAGCCTGCCTCTGAGTTGGTTCAGGGTTTAGTGTTGCATTTTTTGGGGGGGGGGGGGTTAGGGTTTAGGGGCATCATTGTAGCAGAATCTTCCTAAACCTAAACCCCACTTACAAGCTGTATCATCAAGCCGCACGGCCAGCCTGGTGTGACCTCGGTGGAGCCACCTCCTTCTCAGCTGCTTCGTCCGAATCCTGAGAGACATGCTGGGTGTCTTTGGGGAACCAAGCGGCATCACAGCTTTGTTTTCTGTTGATAAGGGCTTCATAGGACGAACCACAGGCTGCTACAAGTAGGAGGTGTGTGTAAGGGTTCGAAAAGTTGTTTGAGGATTTTGAGGTGGTTCGAGAAGGTCTCACAAGCTTGTCCGAGGGGTGCTATGGTTCATAATGGGTCAAAAAAAACCTCAACTCAAGCTACCATGACAGGGACGACAGACATATGGATGTCTTTCATGTTGTTCATTCCATGTCCCTGCTCTGGCGGCTTATGCTCCAAGCAATAAGTAGGTATGGTCTTCGCAAGCACGGATGCAGAGGCACGACAAACGAAGACACCACCAGCTGCGGTAGTCATGATCTAAGGTTGAACCCATGGGCCCCTAACATGGGCCCTTAGGGGGATTCTAGGGTCCCTTAAGGGTATATATAGGGTATATAGTCGGTATATATGGGTTCTACCTTAGTCATGAGAAAGGGGAAGCCGGCAATGACAGCTATTGGCAGCGTGATCGTCTGCAGGTTCTTGGCAGGAGCCACCTCATTTTCAAGTCCGACAAGTTATCCCTGAATATCCTCTTGGAAAGACAGGAACTCAAGAACCCGCCCAGCGCTATTCGAAGCGAACTCAAAACAGCTGCACCGGCCTCCCCGCGTTGCTTGGGAACCTTGTTCGCTCAACTTCAACTGCCGCAACCAAGCCCCACACACATGATATCTAAATACTCCCCTCCAACCAGGAAGCAAAAAACAGGCCAGCCTCTGCCTCTGCTGCCAGCCGCACGAGATCTGAGACTGTCTTGCGGCGCGCCTCTGCTCAGATCTCTGCGCAGAACTATGCATCCCGAATGGTCCGGGAATATGGCCAACCTGACTGGGGCTTTTGCGGCTAGGCCTCTTCTCGGATATGCAAGGCCTGCGTGCTGGCTTTTTTAAGTTTCTAGAATCAGGATTTATGGTGCTTTCGACATATTGAACTCTTTTCATGTCGTGCGGCTGGATGCTCCAAACACTTCAAGCAGCGCTTCCATGCAGCTCTCGGTCGAAAACCTTGACCAGAAAGCCCAATACCAACAACTTGACCACGCCGACCCAGATTGTACCTGCAAGGCTTAAGCCGAAACCCTCCGATCGATCTCTGGCCTGAGTCTTGGTTTTTCGGCAACCCACGGAGCTTCTCGGCCGTCCGCGCTTTTTCGGGCTGACCTCCGAGAGCTTTTTCGGGCTGACCTCCACGAGGAGTTGATTGAGGGTTGATTTTTGGTCTTAGGGGATCGGGTAGTTTTCCTGTTTTGATTGTGGTCTCCTTTGTTGTTACAACGAAATACGAGTATCACCACCACCACCGCCACCACGGCCACCGCCGCCGCCACCGCCACCGCCACCACCACCACCACAACAACAACCACCAAACTCTCAGCAACAATAACGATGACAGGAACAATTTACGAGAACAATAACAACAACAAAGCAACAGCAACAGCAACAGCAACAGCAACAGCAGCAACAACAACAAGAGCAAGAAGCAACAACAGCAACAACAGCAACAACAATGACAACAACAACACCAGGAACATCAGCAGCACAGCTTCTTTGCAGG